GCAGCTAGCTGCAGCGTGCTGCAGGATGTGCCTGCAGCTAGCTGCAGCTAGCTGCAGCGTGCTGCAGGATGTGCCTGCAGCTAGCTAGGCCAGCCCGCGCCTAGACATAGCTAGCTGCTGCTGGCTGCTGCAGCAGCAGGTCTCGCTGGCCCCGTGGGGCTTTGCCCTTCGTTGTCTTTTGGGGGCAGCAGCTAGCTGGCTAGCTGGCTAGCTGGCCAGCTGGCTGGCTGGCTAGCTGGCTAGATGGGGCTTTTCAGCGGCATCTGGCCGCGGGGAGTTCGCCTGGCTGGGCGCTGAGGTGTACGTACACCTGAACTTGCTGCTGCAGGGCGCAGCGCAGCAGCAGTGGGGCTGCAGCAGCCACCGGCGCTGGGGGGGGCGCTGTGCAGCGGCGTTCCCCGGTTTATTTTTGATTTTTCCTTTTTATTTGCATTAAATTTGCAAAATAAAAGTAAAATAATTCCAAAAGTTTGAACAAAGAAGAAGTTTAGCCGGCGGTTTGCGAGAGAAGCCCCATGCGCGTGGGTGCCGTTGCTGCCAGCATGCGCGGCCGCCGTCTGCGCTGCTGCTGCTGCTGCTGCAGTTCGTGTCTATTCCTTGTTTTTGAATTCATCTGAAGAAAGGTAATAGATTTCTTTTTGCAATTATCGTTTAAAGTGCCTGGCCCACGGCTGCAGCAGCAGCTGCCGCCCGACCGAAGCCCCAGCGCAGCAGCAGCAAGGGGAGTGGGGGCCCTAACCCTGCAGCAGCAGCAGCCGCAGCAGCACCAGCAGCAGCAGCAGCAGCAGCAGCAGCCCTTTCGCCCCGCAGCAGCAGCAAAGCCTCCCCATGGCTTCCCCGTCTTATTCCCCAGGGGCCCCCCGGCGCTACAGGGGCCCCCGCCACCGCTCAAGAAGTCCCTCTTATGACGAGAGGGGCCCCCACAGGGGCCCCCCCAGGGGCCCCGAGAGGGGCCCCCACAGGGGCCCCTCCCGGGGACCCTCGGGGGGCCCTTCGGGGGGGCCCCCCAGGGGCCCATCGGGGGGCCCCTCGGGGGGCCCCTGTGTCGTCTTGGTGGCGAACCTTCCGAGGGATGTGACCTTTAGAGAAGCGGAGACTCTTTTGGACGAAGTGAGCAGCAGAATAAATCTTTTTAAATTGAGTTTTTAATTCATTAAAATTAATTCCAATTTGCTTTTATTCTCCATTATTTGGCCCTTCAACTCCCCTCGTAGTTCCGGGCCAAAGCCCCTTCAAAAAGGATACTTGGGGGCCCCCGATGGGCCCCCTGGGGGCCCCGGGGGCCCCCAGGGGGCCCCGAGGCGCAGTCTGGGGGCCCCCAGGGGGCCCCGAGGCGCAGTCTGGGGGCCCCCGGGCCCTGCTGGTGTTGGCAGCAGCAGTGCTGCTGCTGCTGCTGCCTGTTTGCTGCCATTTGAAATTCCCTGCAGCTCTTTAGCCTCCTGCGCCTCC